AACACCTGCCACGTACACTTTTGTTTTCATTTGCTGCCGAACTCGACGGGGAGACCTACGAAAATGGAGAGTAGTCGGATCCCGTCAAAACCAGTAGACTACGCTCCGTAGCAGTAGTCGGATCAGCCCCTTACTTAGATCAGAGTATTCGCAGTTTGGAAAATAATACCTGCAGAAGGAATTTTCCGTACCGTTTTCAGAAAAACGAATTTCGAAAAAGAACATATTCCGAATTTCTAAGTAACGGAAAATGCAACAGGACTTGTGATGCCAGCACGCTACCGGGGTCACTTACTCAGAATGAGGTTTGACTGGTTTGGCAAGTAGAACTACAGAGTGATCTGAAATGCTTGCCTGCCTGACAGGCTATGGTGAGAGATGATGTGGTCTATTATCTTGACTACAGCTAGAAGAACAGGCATATTTTTATAATAACTGCAAACTTTACAACAGTCTGAGCAGCACCTGAGAAGGGAGACAACCCAGCACCAAGTGCTGCCCTTTTCTGGGCTGTCTGTGTGCGTAGTCCGTACAGGCCCCTGTCACACTTCGTTGCTGCCGTTGTCCAGTAGGCTGGTCTCTTCCTTGGGATGCCTTATGCTTGTTGCAGTTCCATCGTCCGTACAAGCCTTTGTCCCGCTTCGTTGCTGCTGTTGTTCCATAAGACGATCCCTTCCTTGAGATGACTTGTTAGGGTTGCTGTGCTGGCGTCTCGTCGATTGTGTCGTTGCTCTGGAGATTAATGGGTTGATTAGTGCCGAGCTTACATTAGAGGTTACGGCTCATTTCCACGTGACATTAGAGCTATTGTGAGATAGGTGGTCTTATGGCATTCTCAGATTGTAGTCAGATTAAGAAATGGGTTGAAGCAGTAGAAGAGAAGACAAGAGGAAGGGGTTGCTCTTTTTGCCACAGTCGTGGCCCTGGCTTTGCTTGGCAGGAGAGCCTTGCTCAGCTTGCGTGCTGCAGCAAACTTTGTGAGGGATGCCGGGCCCGTTTCCCGGCATGACAATAATCGTTACTCGTTTTCCTGAAAAAAAAAAAAAAAAGGCTGAGAAAGGTATTACCCTTGATTTTCCAAGAGATACCAGGCTCGTACATCTAGGCTCAGGAGTACTTTTACGTTCTTTTTCTTTGTGCTTTCTCTCCGTCTGACCACCGTCTTCCCCCCAGCAGAGCGCACCCTCATTTTGGTTGTACCTGACCAGATGTATCTCTTCGGTACGTTGATTCTCAGGGTGCGCTGCAATCCACAGGAAGGAGGAGGGGGGGGTGGGGGCGAGAGAGAGAGAGAGAGAGAGAGAGAGAGAGAGAGAGAGAGAGAGAGAGAGAGAGAGCATACATAGCGGTCTTACCTTGGTGGGCACACACAGAGCACTCTTCCAAGTGTGTCACTGAAAGAGCACAGGTCCACTTGGTGGGCACACACACACACACACACACACACACACACACACACACAGAGAGAGAGAGAGAGAGAGAGAGAGAGAGAGAGAGAGAGAGAGAGAGAGAGA